TGCATGCAGCGTCGACCTCTGCAATTGTTAGGAAGTCAATGGATCTTGTCGGCTCAGGATTTTGCTTTGTGGCAGTCTTTGAGGGAAGCTTAATTTCAAACAATGGACTAGAACAGGCGTAAATGATCATGATGACGTATAATCGTCGACACAATGTCCTTAATGGTAATCTGACAACTGTTTAATATACTTTTTAATGTTAAGTACTACATCTAATATTTTGTAAAAACAAAAATCGTTTTTAGTATTACACGAACGCACACTTGTGCATTTCATCTGGTGAGTGAGTTTAGCAGGGCCCACTTTATTCAAAGGACGACGAATCGCAGATTCGTACCTACGAGTGTTGCAAATGTCCATGGGCAGCAGTTATCACTTAACATCAGGTGAAACGCCAGCTCACTTGCCACCTTCTCACATAAAAATGATTATTCATGAATATAGATTTCTTTTAGTAAAAACATTTACAATTGGTTCATGAGTGCAGAGACTTTCCATTACATGCCAAACAACCAGACTCTAACGCTAATCCATAAACATCCCTTGTCATTCGCCTTGCAATGTTCAGATATCCAAAATTTGCAACAAAACACGGCTCATCGAGCCCGCCACGTTCATTACTCAATGCGGTCGGAAAACGGGAAACAATTTCGCGGAACAAAAGGCCATTACCGACATTGTAATCTGCTTATTTACAGGCGACTTTGACCGTTCTAAAGCGAAAGCTACGTTTTTCAAACGGCCACAGAACGAGCTGGTTGGTTTTAACCGCGTCAAAAATAGATTCTATATGACGCGTAAGTTTTTATTTTTTTATGTGCTCGTTATGGCCAGATGTGTGATATTTTAATAACGCGCTGCGGCTAGGCGGGTGCGAATTCGTAACCGTTGTTACTTGTAAGTGAGCGTGTTTCTCTCCCTTTAAAACCACCTAATTCAGCCGTTCGAAAATTAAAATAAGCAGGAGGGCAATTAAAACGTTTGAATTTTAAATTTAGACCACTTTTAAATATCGTTTTTTTTTTACTGCGGCTAGTATACATTGAGTGGCCAAATTGAAATTCAAACTAAAAGCTTAGAAGCTTAAAAGCTAAAAAGTGTTTTTTTTTTTTTATTATCATGTTTACATCATGACCAATTAGTTGAGTTCGACGCTAATTAATAATTTTAAATGATTTACATTTAAATATTTGAAATTCGTAACAATCTTATAATGCGACTTCCTTTTTACTCATATTTCGATGACTAAATCAACCTTTTCCGTATTGTATTCAAGTACAATACGGAAACAGAATAATCTGTTTCTATGCGCCTTATTTTATTTTACATTATAAACATAACAAATGTACGTTATCCGTAAACCACAGTTTAGATATTCGTTAAACATATTTTACAGGTTTAATAACAGATCACAAACTAAAAAATACGCAGAGGCGTAATTTAAAGAACACATAATACACAAATCTGTAACCCACTTATAACTAACTAATCACAACATTCATCGTGGAGATAAAATTATTAAAATTATTATTGTCTAAAGTGTTAACATTTAATAACAGTAAAACGTAACTTTCAGGCTAAAAGATGACTCCGTGGCGTAGTTGCCAAGGTATTGGCTTCGGCGTCAGGGTCGTGGGTTCGATTCCCACACGGGACAACTATTTGTGTGACCCACATATAATTGTCCCGAATCTGGGTGTTTGTCCGCGTGAAATTTATGTTTGTAAAGCGTCCTTACAACACAGGATAATGTTATCCTAAAGTAAGGGTAATGTTTCTTTCTTATTAAAAAAAATCGTATATATTCATGTCCTACCTAAGCAAATATTTATAATATTTATATTCATGTAATCTATCCCAGCTATGCCTTTGTGTACCATCCTATCTGCATCAATTCTGGAGTTGTTTAACTATCATAAACACTGCAGCGACAAACGTGCGTTCCCCGCGCCGCTAATTACGACCCGCGAACGGGAAACTGTTTTTAATTTAACGTATTTATTCAATTACAGCAACCCTCTTCTTTGCAGGGCGCAGTGAGAGGCTCGCTGGGTTCGCGCGGCGCCGGCTTCTGTGTATCGACGGTGAGTGGTTGCGATTCGTCAAGAACTCTACACCGATGCCTACTCGTTAAAATTACCAGTTCACTAACTAACTGCGCTAATTAGGCGCTAGGATGTGTGGGAGACGGGACCCCTACTACGTCAAACAATTTCGAAACCGAGTTTCGTGACGTTAAAGTCAAACAATTTCGAAACCGAGTTCCGTTCGAGATACGTTCGACTCTCGAGCATTATCATTAAGATAACCGCTAGCTTGTCGTCGTGCATCGATCGTATAATGTAAAAGGTGATTTTGTTTCGTGAGTAATTTCAAAAACTCACTGGCAAGTAGCACGCATTTGGTTGCGTTACCGCCACCCTGCGAATCAATGTCCCAATCTAGGTTTAATCCTTTGTATAATTACAACGCTTGTATTAATCCTTTGTACTATTGTTGTCGAGAGCCAAGACAAAGTTGTGTAAGGTAAATAAAAAATAATAGATACCGAATAAAATAAATGTGATATACCGAAATAAAAATAAATGTTCGGTGCATTTATTTTTATTTTAACGAATCACAATAGTAATAAAGCTTTATTGAAATTTCCAACGTGAACTATAATAACGACGTCTATTTGTTTGTCTGCATTGAGCAATTTTACGTTTTCTTAACAGCGCGAGCTCTAATTTATTACTAAATTTTGTATAAAATGACTGAAATTTACTTTAAAAATATTAGAAAGTCCATCGAAAAAATCTTGTATATACATTTTCAATTCCATAAAAAAATGTAGTTTACTTCATTATCTATAAATATCTTTATTTAATCTAGAAGTCTAAAGTAATTAATAACAAGAAACTTTTTGACTGTCTCCTTTTACGAAAGGGGTTGTAACTATAGCGTTATTGCATTGTCATTGTTTTGTCATTTATTCCACGTTAATAAAATTAGAATGGAATTTAAGAATTTAAAAATACCGTTCAACTAAAAGTGTCGAGTTTCGATCGTGAAACGCCAGTAGGGGCCATAACTGCTCTTCAGTGTACGGAGCGAACTATAACATACGTAGCCCGCAGTGCGTGGAAAGCTCCCAGCAGAGTCTGCCGCTTAATTGCTCTGTGCCGACGTACTTACAGCTACAAGCGCGTTTAATTACCGAACATCATGCAAACTGAATTTCGTGCAGTGACATGTGTTTACATATTACACGTAATCTTGTTGGGCCCTCAGCCATTTGTGAGTCAACGACGCGTCTGCGCTTCGACTATGGCCTTGATGTATTGAGCAATGTTCGCCTTTGTCAAATCGCATTTGAAACAATTTGGACTCAACTACTATTAACGTTTTTACTTTATTTTGCCATTGCTACTTTCTCAGCGAAAAGTACAACGGCAATGCGAAACGGCTTCGCACGCTTTATGCGCATGAAGGCTTCTCTACCGTTATCTATAAAAACATCGAAAAACCATGTCTGTTGTAGGGAAGCCTACTTAAATATCTTCTCCTACTTTTTTCTGTTTTTAGTATTTTTTTCTTATAGCGGCAACTGTTTCACTCTTTGGGTACGGAACCCTAAAAACAAACTGATTTTTTGACATTTGTATTGAACATTTTTATGTTAATTTAATAGAATAGTTTTACTGACGACACACTAAATGGTGGCCATTTAATGCGCCATGAACCTCCAAGCTCCGTTGGCCCTTGCGTGATAAGACGATAGAAAATAATCCAGCTAAATAACCAGTATTTACCACATTTTAAGCAAGAGGCATGTATTGTTTATATAAATGAATGGCCATCAAATTCGCAACTGGTCCAACATGCTCTATGTTAAACGTCCGGGTATACGTGCTCTCGCGTTCGCACCGAGAATGAATTTTCGGTGGCGCATAAAGCATCGCATCGGCATAGCGTTAAGTCTCGCAAAGTCCGCAATTCATGGATCGCAGTGAAACGTTCGACGGAATTGCGAAAAACGGCGCACCACAATCGACGGGGCCCGATCGCCCCGGGCGGCCGACCTAAGGTGCGGCTCACACCGAGCGCGGCGTTTCGGCGCGTACGTTCAGACACGCCACGTGTGGCTTTTTTTGTGAAAAAGTGGCAAACGAGCTAGTGGTTCACCTGATGTTAAGTGATAACCGCCGCCCATGGACATTTGCAACACCCGTAGGGTTTCAAATGAGTTACAACCTTCAAATAAAGTGGGCCCCGCCTACCTCACTAATGAGACGAAACGCAGAAGTGTAACACACTGTACGCCAGTCTTCTGTGAGGTTGTGGGCTTACCCGGATGGACCTGCATCAGATCGAACATTTGTGTGACTTCTTTCGAGGTAGCATTGAAATTTATGGAACTGTTATCTGAGGTATAAGATTTTGAATTAAAAGAAAAAAGTTAAACTTTCGAAACTGTAGCGCATTAACTTATCACATCATAAAATTTTAATAATAGGACGGGTACCATGAAAGGCACGTCTTGATCATTGAAATGACAAGAGCTTTTATCATTTTATCCCTATAGAATGGGGAAAGTAATAGTTTATGTAACAGCTCCCGTATTAGGTAAACTCAAGTTAGACCGAGCAATTGCCACGACGTCACAGAAGACCCGAAGTGGAAGCAATTACGCTTTCGCGGTGCATCCCGTTGGATAAACAACCGGAGGTCCACACTTTTAGTGGTAGGACATTTCTGCAAACGGTGTCCATAGGTTCAGTCACCGCACGCTCATACTTTTGAAATTAAAAGAAGAGTATAAATAAGTGAACGCACCTGTATATAAATAATTATGGTAAACACCTGACTAGTAAGTAGCAGTACAGATCTTTCGATGTCCCCCCACACCATATACGCTCCGAATAGATACGTTTGGTGTGAATAGTACATAACCCTCCTCCGGCTCTTTGTTCTAATTGCGCCTCTATACGGTGACCGCTCCGTAACGAACTCGCCAAATGCCCTCTGTTTTGTTTTTAATAGTTCCCCGGCTGCGTCACGCGCAACTCGCTTCGGACTTTCCCGCCAAGTTTCGAGTTAGGGGTTTCGCTAATGATCCGATTGACGAGCGCATGAAATTTAGTTCGACGCTCTGCTGCGGTTAGTTTCAAGGGCAAGTGAATGACGAAGATAAATAATGTACAAAAAACACAGCAATTGCGATAAAAATTCACCGACTTGTCGTAAAAGTGGACTAAATATAAAAATAGTGATGAAATTAAAGGCGACTATAAAACAAAATTGGACAAGTTTTTGTACAAAATGTGTAGTACGGACTGATTAATAATTGTGTTTAAACGGAACACAATAGGTTTATTAAGGTTTATAACATTATGGAAATTGTTTAAACCCAGTAACCAGCTGACAAGAAAGGGGAAAACATTATACAATTTTAAAAATATTCAAAGAATATATTGATTTCATAATTAGGTCTCATAGAATTATAATTTCATTATTTGTAAATACATAGTTCGGACGACGTAGTTATGCGACCACCCGGGCGCTTGATAAGAACACCTGCATTCGAGACTGCTCAGTCAGCATAGCGATAACAATGTTACGATACGTTGTTTCTAGACACTGTTTCAGTTTGAATAGAAAAATAAAATGCTTGGTTCATTCCGTGGATGCTTTAACCGCCTATCCCTAACGTTAAGTACGTAATTAATGCAATGTTACTTACCGACTGCTTTGAAGTAAAGCAGGAGAAACTAATTGAAACCAGCGTTACGTTCAAAGCGAAGTCATAAATAGAAGTGGGAATGGAAACAAAAATTAACGGCAGCCATCAGCGGCAGACGAAATAAACGCGTAGGGATGAGCAATAAACAGCGGATCTATAATTTGAAGACTCACACCCGGTTTCTGAAACACTGATCATAGTAGAAGTTAACCAATCAGTCATGTCAAATGGCTTTTCAAATGTCATTTGAGTTGCCAAAAGGATGGTTAAACTCACTGAATTGATCGGAATGATCTTTTTAATGACTAGGATTAACTTCTACGATGGTCAGTGTTTCAGAAACCGGGTGTAAGAGTTTCTTATAGAAATTTCGTTTTGTGATTTCACAAGGTTGTCCCTTTGAATTTATTATAATCGGCGACAGAATTACCGACCACTTATTCCTTTTATAGATTCCCTCGTGACATTTCTAAATGCACTAATAAACATGTCTCCATTACGTCCTTTTCTATTAGCGTATGTATGTGTCAAAACTATTAATACATAGAATTGTTTTTACATTGTAATGGCCTTTATGGTTTGTTTTGCTTTTTTTATAAAAAAATTCTATCTATCATTTTAACAAAAATAGCAAATATATTTGACATTTTTTTTCTATTATCTGAAATATGACACACATTTCAAATTATCTCGACATAAATATGGTAGTTATGATTTATTAAAATATAAGATTGTATCGAAATACAGTCAAAATATAAACTTATCGATATCTCTATAAATAACTCATCATTATCTACAATATTGTACCAATCATAAATATGATAGCTAGAGTATTTTAACATTTATATCAGCCCTATATATTTTAACATTTGTTTATAGCTTGAGGTAAATTTAATGTGGTTTAGTTAAGTGCAACGTTGAGACCAACCTCAGCGGACGTACATCACTATTTTGAAAAGCTCGCGGCACCGAGAAACAACTCATTAGTCATAATTAGCCCGCGCAAACTTAATTTCCCATCGTCCTGGGTACGCTGGCGGTTTTTTTCGTAAATTCCATTTCGTTACTCCCGCTCACGTCTAATTGTTGGGCGTAACGGAGAAATACGTATTAATTTCTGCGCGATGCCCGAACGTTTATATACATGTTTATAGTGGTGTATTAATCACGCTTTAAATTTACAAATTACATTGGATAACGATCACATTTGTAATATATCTACTGACTAAGGGAAGTGTAGTCACTGGCTTGTAGAAGACTACTTTCGGCATTTGAATCTCCAAGAATCTTCCAAGTGTTATGATCCAGTAGATGATTTTTCAACAGTAAGTTTGATTTGAATAACATAACTTGAATCGAGTAAGATTCGAAATTAAGACTCGCAATGCTCTACTGTCCCAAGATTGTTATAGATGCCACTTAACATCTGGTGAAACACTCGCACCCGCATTGTACCAACCGAGTGAAGAACATAATTATATAACTATATTAACATACATATTATATGTAACTATATCCCTTAGAAATAAAACGTTTCGTAAATCCGTGCAGATGAAGCCGCTAGTCGGTAAATAACTTGAAGTAACGCGATACCAAGCGAAGTAAATAACACAATGCCTTACTACCGCTCCGTCATCTCACTTTTCTCTTCGGATTTTATTTCACCGTTTCCACGGAACCCGCATCGTAGGGCCGCCTAAGTTTTTGTACAGTTTCCGCGAAACTCTGAATTCGTCATATTGTTCGCTAAGTTTTCGCCTCCCCATCTGAATTCGGTGTCGCTCTCCGGCTGAGTAATAAGAAAATATCCGCGTGTCTTTGCACTGTCTGTGCGATAAAAGAGAATAAAAATGGGGCTCTGTTTCTTGTAATAACAGCCATTTAGGATAGGATTCGAAACGTATTACCATATACGTTTGTTCGATGTATTCATAAATATAGATGTATTTACTCACAGAGCTATGGGCAAGTTTTTTTCTAATATTCTTAAGTTGTAATGGAACTTTTCTCTTGAACGATTCTTTTACTTTAGTATTACTCTTACTATTACTTCCCCTTTTTTATGTGAAATGTTGTCGAACGAACAGGCGGTTCACCTGATGTTAAGTGAATACCACATGAACATCTGCTACACCCTTTTTGGAAATTGGGCTCCGTCTACCTCACTCACCAGACGAAACGCGAAATTATTTGTCATATTTCTATATTACGCCAGTCTTCTGTGAGATCGTGGTACTTACCCGGACGAGCCTGCCCATTCGTGCAACAACCGAGGCTGCTGCGTGGCTCTACCACCACGCAGAAGACCTGCGTGAAGTAGAAGTGTAACACTTCTGCGTCTCGTCTGGTGAGTGAGGTAATCGTGGCCCACTTTATTAATAGATGGCAACGCATCTGCACCCTACGGCTGTTGCAAACGTCCATGGGCAGTTATCACTTAACATCAGGTGAACCGCCAGCTCGTTTGCCACTTTGTAATATAAAAAAATGGCTCTAATGCATGCTATCATATCCAAGGCATATTCAGATCAACTGATTACGCATGGTATAGAATCCATGGTTCATTTTAGTAACTTGCTACCGTTAAGTTACCGAATATCAAATATACACTTCAAGACCGCTACACGATTTAAGTGTGAAGCATCCTTTGTTGATTTTATTGTTTAATACAGTCACGCACGAATATTACCACTACATTACGAGTGGAAACAAGACACGTCTCAAACATTATACAACGGGGCGAGATCTTATTGACTTCCCAATCTTGAGTTCCCTTCATTCGAAAGCAAAGTTCTCATCCGTCAAACGGCGCACATAAATATGTTTCGCTTAGCCGAGGAAATCTGATGGAAGGGAACAGAGCGAGTTGCGCGCACTATACTTGACGCGTCGAATAAATAAAACAGTCGACGGCTGTGTGTTTATCACGTCACTTGTCACGTCTCATTCATATCGTTGTAGGTAAGGGTGTTGGCAGGTTTGTGGGATTTAGTTCATTTTAGCCGACTGCTGATGCTACCCGCATCGCTACATACAACCCCCTCGTATGCAAATTGAGCTGATGATGCCAATTTGACCGATTCTCAGATCTAATTTGAGATACAAAATATATGGAAGATAACACGCTTCTTTGCACAGCTGCAAGAAATTTTATTTTATTTTATTGGGGATAACAAACAGCTACAATATATGATATGAACAGATCCGTTGTGTTGATGTAGTAATAATATTACAGCCCACTACATTATCCACGTATTAAACATACAATATTATTTTAATGGAAGCTACTAGATACGTTACAAAAATAAAAATAAAAAAACAATAACAAATAGCACAAAGATAATAAAAAGGAACACTTCAAGAATACAAAAATACAAAAATACAAAAATACATAATTATTAAAAAGTATAGCTTAACTTATTTAATTTGGAAACTATTTGGTTCTTATACTTAGATTTAGAGCATTCAAATATATCAATATCAACAAAATTGGAGTTATATGATTTAAGCATACGTTGTATAGGACATCGTAGTCCTGAGTTTGTTCGGCAAGTATTGATGGCAAAGAGAGTGCCCGGGCGAACTGTTCGTTTATGGGTAGTACGAGGAACTACATAGCAAATCTTATTTGTTAAATCAATGCAATCAAAACTGTTGTGCACAATACAATATAACACATTAGCTTCTAAATATGTACGTCTTGCCTCAAGTGATAGCAATTTATAGTTGTTTAATAATTGTGAATATGATAAATTGGATTTCATACATTTATATTGCATGGAGCGAAGAAACTTTCGTTGGACCTTCTCAATATCGTTTACATATTTGTAGTAAAAAGGATTCCAAATTGGTAAATTATATTCAAGTTGGGAGCGTATAAGAGTTTTAAAGAGATAAAGGTATGTTTGTGGCCTCTTAAACTCCGTCGATGATCTCATTACAAAACCGTACATTTTATATGCTTTATTAATAATAGACTCGATATGCTGGTTAAGTGAAAGTTTATTGTCAATCAAAATTCCTAAATCTCTAACAACAGAAATATTCTTCAAAACAGAACACACACAAAGGTAATAATTAAATTTAATAATATTTCTATTTTTGGTAAAATGAATATGGTTGCACTTAGGGATACTAAGTTGAAGTTTGTTTTCCTTGCAATAAGTTGTGAATCTGTTTAAATCTTCCTGGAACATCTCGCAGTCTTTCTCAGAATTAACAGGTTTATATACTTTCAAATCGTCCGCGTATAAGAGAAAGTTTGTGTTTTTAAAACAGATTTTAATGTCATTTATATATAATATAAAAAGAAGTGGGCCCAGTATCGACCCCTGGGGAACACCAGAAGATAAACGAACGATGTCAGATTGATAGCCATTTATTACAACTTTTTGTGTGCGGTTTGTAATGTACGATGCAAACCATCGAAGTAAGTTACCCCTTATGCCAATAAAAGAAATTTTATTTAGCAGTATATCGTGATCCACCTTGTCGAATGCCTTTTTAAAATCTGTATAAATAGCGTCCACTTGCACACGTTTGTCAATATTTTCAAAGAGGTCATTAGTGAAAATTAATAGATTAGTGGCAGTGGATCGCCATTTAACAAATCCGTGTTGTTCTGGGATAATAATACTGTGCAGCACTGGATATATTTCGTTATGTACAAGTTTTTCAAAGAGTTTTGACAAAGTTGACAAAATTGATATAGGGCGATATTGCTCAATATCCTGCTTTGAGCCACTTTTGTGGATGGGTGTTATATTAGCCATCTTCCACTTCGCAGGAAACACACCTTCATTTAAGCTTTTATTAAATATTATGTAGAGCGGTTTACAGATATTGGGGGCAGTTGACTTAAAAAACAATGCAGAAAAGCCGTCTGGGCCCGCACCTTTGCTAGGGTCAAGTTTTTTTAATTCACTTAGTATTTTATACTCGCTAATATGAAGATCACTGATCATTACATTGTTATCAACACGGGTTGAAGGCGGTCTCCAGTCTGGCGGGGAAGAAGATTGAATATAAAGAATATGAATATGAAAGAAATGAATATAAAGAAACTTAATTTAAGTAACAATTGTGATACTGACAAGGCTTCTCTCAGGTAATATTAGTGATTAAAATTGACGACGTGCGTGTTCGTAGGTGGCATTCCTTACTTGTCGGCAGTTGAGCACTTCGAAATAGAGATCCCTATGAAATTAGATGACAATCACGTTCTGGAACATTCACATCGGGATTGATAACAGAGCAATTGTCATAATTGCCGCGTCCGCGCGAGCAGTATCTAATCGAAATCGATTCTGAGCTTGTTCGAATATCGCCGTTTTCACATTTCATCCTCTTATTAGGAAAATGGGTATTCCATACTTTATTTATCGTATATATGGTGTTTCCGTGAATGGTGAATGATAATTGTATTTAAGAATTTAAAACATAATATAATCATTGCAATGAAATGACGAAGAAAATACAGGAGTCTTCGTAATAAATATATTTAAATATTAATATCACAACAATACATTGTAGTAGACTGTCTATCTTTGTTTGAAGTTTTGAAGTTATAATTATATTCAATAGCTACGCACGCATTTCTCAGCGGCAACACTACCATTTTATTGGTCATATCAATGAGCCAATGGTTCGAAAATTGGCTTTTTATTGCTCGCTTTATGAAATACGAGCGTTGACCCAGATATTTTATGATGGCCGGCGGTAAAAGCATAAAAAAAAACGTCAAACAACTCTTATTAATACTCGCACATTTTATGCGGAATGTATTTTTTAATTGATAATAATCGCCGTGCGCAGAGGTAGGGGCGATAAACACATTCCGGGGAAAGTACTATATATATATATATTTATATAAATAGGATTGAAACAGCCACCTATTTATGGAGTAAGGTTTACAGTGTGTAAACCGAACCCACGAGAGGACGCACTGTAACGTTATTCGTGTAGTCAAACTATGAGCGATTTTTAAAAGTAAATAATAATTGTGAGTAGCACCAACACCATTACCACGCAAGATTCTTAGCTGTTGCACGAATGGGAAGGTCCGTCTCGGTGTTGCAAATGTCCAGGCGGTTATCACGTTGCTTGCGACTTTCTCACAATAAAAAATTAACACGTAAAGTATTATCAAATATGATGCTACAAAACATTCAATTTTAATAATTCATTCATTCAAAGTTAATGGACGGAACCAAAGAGATGCTGAACTTGTTTTGGTAAAACGAAAAGCATAAAGACATAGTGCGTATATGCATCATAATAGGAGGTTACGACATTCGTGTCGTAAACTCCTATTATGATGCATAAAAGGAGGTTGTAAGTATTCGTCCTTACTTGATACTCCCTTAAGGGGTGCATTAAAAACATTTCTTAGTGTTTAAAGTAATAAACAACATTTCCGAATAAAACCCATCAAAGGTGTTTTAACGTAAATCGCCAGCGCGCATCGATTACGGGCCGTCAATTAACTTCGGACGTTTGGCGGCGTCAAAAGATGGGTGCGGTTGATCAGCGGCGACGAACATAAACGGAGCGTTAATAGGCGCCAAATGTGACAGCTAATTTCCTGGAAGAGGAGCCCCACCTTCGGCGCTTAAGGCCGGATCGCGATTCCAGTCACGGACTAGACCCCCTCGCCCCCGCCCCCCTCCCCGTGCCCCCCTGCATCCAGAGGGTGCAGTGATCAAGCCCGAAAACTTACAAATTAAAACGTGCTTAGATTCTTACCGCGAAGGGGCTCGGGGTGAGAGATCGTTATTGCGATGTCAGATGCCGATGTGGAACTTTGTTTTTTCCGTTACCAAGAAAACCGAGGAGATGGTCCAGAGTTCGACGCTACGTCGACCTCTTCTGTTGGAGGGTCTGGAGATAGCAAACTTCTTTGGGAAAGTCAGTTGACCCATACACTGGATCAATCAAATATCAGTGACTATATAGCATAGATCGATCATGAGGTATTTATAATATTAGGCATTTATTTATTAATACTAAGAGAAGTGTTCTATAAGTAATGCTGATTCAAATTAAATTGGGTCGTATAAATTTATAGAAATAACAATTTAATAAGTAAAGGAGAATTAATTATGAACTGAACACTGAATAAAATGCGAACACTATGTATCTTCGCTGAGTAAAGACTCTTTAAATACAATAAAGGCAATTTAAATATCTCTCCATAAAACTGTTTTTCAATAAAGATTGAAAAACAGTTTTATGGAGAGATATTTAAATTTATACAACTTAAATAATTCAATTCACTGCATTTAGAAGTATGTGTTATGTGATGACAACTCTTATAGTGCTTATTATGTTTATGGTGAAATACATGAAAAGCGACAAATAAATAATTCTCAATAGGGAAATAATAAAACATGTATTTCTATCACATTGAATATTTTAAATACACTTAATATTGTTTATATTTCTGTGTGATTTCAAATAAAATACCCTCGAGTCAAAAACTGCCGTATTGTCATTATACCCGTTAAACACAACATGACGATGACAACCTTAAATGCATGTTTAACACTACGTCACAACCTGTCCTGTCCAGAACAACTAGTGTACAGACAAATGGGCATTTGATCGATGTTACGAATTCCAGAGAGGCAGTAACATACGGCAGTTAATAATTTGCTTGCTACGACGAATACCAAACACTTTACCAAGCTTAATCGAAACATAATATTTTCATTAAAACTCGACAATAATAACTGTATAAATGCTTCTGAAATCCGAGTACTTTTTTGTGATAATTAAAACGTTCACATATTGAAAAAAAAGTATGTCTACTCAATGATGTTATAATAAAGATGACGTATATCCGCTTTAAATTATATGACATATGTAATTGAATGTGACAGATCATAAAGAACGTATGATGCAAAAAGAGATAGCAGTCTAAAGAAGTTCAATCTAATTACACCAGTTGGCGTAATTTGAGTGCCTCAGTTTCGGTGCGCAAGTGTCATATCTACTTGGTATTTGTATAGAATATATAACTATGTTGGTTATAGTATAATATGAAGTCCTATACTATGAGTCTGTATGTCAGTCATCATATATATGAAGTACTATACGAACCTAATAAATAGGATAAGGAAAAAGCTCTGTCGAACGCTACAGAATTCCTTGTGTAATTTTTTCCCGGAAAACCGTTAGGAAGTTAATCGTTATTTGTGTCACATCGCTGTGAAAAAATCGCTACTGAATAAAGGAGATTCAGAATTCGCATCGTTAATCTGACGCGTGAAAAAGTTTGTGAGCGGGCATCAATAATTGTTTTGACAGTTAAGCCGCCATTTTTCATTCGCACGGGCTACGTTCAGAAACGGAATCGGAACGAGAAGTCCCGATTCGAAACAAAAACCCAGCGCTACCGAGATCGTTCGCTTTCTAGAAGCGGGTCGAGGATGAACGTTAGAGAGCACTTCATCGCCCGTCCCGACGCACAGTGAATTTTTCAAGTCAGTATAATGCAGCTATGTACGTCGCGGTTGAAATTTCTCACTAGAACCGCGGGCGTTAGAGGAACGAACGCTGTAGATCAACTTCCGAGCCATTTATTCGCAAATCGAGTTATTGCACCTCCCGTGGATCGCTTTACACAGGTCATTTGTGGGAATTGCAAATATCTGAACGTTTGATAGGCAAGGAGATTTATGGCTCACTTAAACTTTCTACATTTGGCGCTTATTTGCCCGCGGAGAGTGGCATTTTGTCTTTAAATCTTGGTTTTTAAATTTCAACATGACGTCCCGCGATTACGTTATCTGCTTATAAAACGGTTAAACAATCCTTCCTTTTTAGATACATTTTATTGCCATTCTTCAACTGCTGATTTTGACATTCTACAGACTGTATATTCTTCAGAAATGCTGTCCATCTACTTTTTATACCTTGCTGAGAAGGCTTTTAAACTTTAAAAAGTTCAAGTTCCGAATCATGCTAAATATTCGTATAAACCATTTCCGAAATAATGAAAAACGGCTTTTAGATTAGCGCTGTCGCCCAATATGAGTTTAACGTGAGACACGTTTACTTGAATGACCACATAAACGAATACATAAGTAGAAGACGCGATGTCGAAACGCAAATTTAGTCCATTTTCCTATTCCTACCTCCTGTCTTATTACCGGAGTAAAAAGTAGACTCAGGAGCAACAACTCTGGTTGAGCATCTTGCAATAATGCCGAATTAGGAACATTTCAGTATCTGATAATATCTGTATTTTTAAGAATAAATTTTGCTATCGCTTCATAAAACAGTGTCTTAAACGGTGAGGAAAGTAAGAATATGTATTTATTTACAGTGGAAACAAAATAAACGTTAAATCATTCGCGAGATACTTTCCCGAGCACGGTTCGTGATGTGGCACCCGTTACAAAGTATGTACTGAACAGGCATTAGGTCCTTATTTATTGCCGTACGCGACAAAGATAAATTCATTGTGTTTATCCCACGCCGCTCCGGCGAACAGCGCTTTCAACGTTACCCCATACGTAATAGAAATTCCATTATAGATAAAAAATCTAATATTTGCTTCACTCATTGCGATAGTAACTTATTTTTTTGATGCGAAAGCATATTGCAAATATTTTTTCTCAAGATGTTTTCCCTTTCGTGACACTGTATATACTTTGGGAGGCATATATACCTATTTTTTTACATAATTTATATTCTACGCTTTACACGCTTCACTTATTTTGTATCATCATCCTCCTCATCCTAGGTGGGGTCGGCAAAACATGTGAATCATTTTGTAAATGGCACTGATTTTTGACTGAGGTTTTTTATGACCGGCCACAGGCTGACGTCAACTCTTTTTTAAAAACAAACCCACAGACACACAGTATTTATCTGTGGTTCACACAAATTATTGGACTAACTATGTGGGAACGGAACCCATGACCCTGTAGCTTAGCAATAACATTGAAATTATTTATTCGTTAAAATCGAAGTAGCCAGTGTCCATACCCTAGGTATTTGTTTATCAGCGATTTCTGCACGAGAGAAATTTTTACAACTGAGTTGATGATCCTACCGGGTTTTGAACCCGCGATCTTTGATGGTATGTTGGAACAATAACTATTTTAATGAAAATATCATAGGAATTAAAGTTTAACGATTTATAATTCTCATAGCTGATTGTCGTATTATTCGTAAATAAAACTGTTTTATGTTTTTAATTTCAGATTTCAGGACTAACAGTTAATCTGGGGTACCTTGATTTTTCTTTTGAGTCATTTCGCCCGAACTTCGTAGTAGAAGTTTACATTATCCTGAATTCTTTCAGTATCGGTGTGGTTAGTTTGATTTTATAAATTATGAAATCCCAAGCTGACGGTGACACCAAACCATCTTATTTATTAAAGTTAAAATGCTTTATCTGTAGACTTGTCAATAATAGTTGCAAGAAATCAGTATTCTTTTGTAAACATTTTTGGCTTGTGTTATGTTTGTGATCCCACTATATACAGAAAAAAGACGCTAAATATGCTAACAGAATGTCCATCCGTTGCTATTTAAATGAACGATAAACCGACAAACGCACTTTCACATTTATAATATCAGTATTGATATCATTTAATAACTTAGCGTCGATCGCGCCATGCATTATATTAAACTGTTTGTGCGCGCGTTCGCTATTATTTCACAAAGGCAAATCGAGTTATGTACGTAACAAATGCAGTTGCCCGTTTATTTTGCTGCGTTCCGTCGCCGCATATCGCAAATTAAATTAAGCCCCGACAATAAACGCCGTTGCCAGCCAGAGTGGCCAGTGTTGCCGTATTAAAAAACGAAGACAGAGACCGACGTCCGGTGACAATTTAAACTTTATATTACCGCTTGTTTTCGCAATTCCCAACCATTTTCAACGCTGTACGTGTTTGCGGACCTTATTCCTTTGGATTTTCATTCGCTCTCGCGATCAGATTAACAGCGGATTACATCGCTCCACGAATGTAATCGATGCCTTTTTTATCGAATCGTTCCTTGGTGGAAATAGTTCCTAAAATGACATCTTTAAGTCGTGCAAAAAGGTTTCATCTGGTGTGACGTTGGAGAGACGTCAGAGAGCCAATGAATAAACTATCGGGGATATTTGAGACGGGACAAATTTGAGACGTTTAGAAAATGTAAAGGATTCTGAGATTCTGTGATATGTGAGAAAGTGACAAGCATGCAGGAGAGAGTCATTACCATCGGCCCTTCATTCCTATGAATCCTTTACTGTTGCAGACGTATCGCGAACCTTTAAAGGACTGGGCTACAATAATGAAAAGTCATCCTTTAGCCAGTTTCAAAGACAGTATACCTCTATTATGAAATAATGTTCACTGATGAATTGTCAAAAATCTTTTCTTCGTGCTATATATAAAGTAAATTTTTTATCCAAAAATATTTATAAAATTATGCATCGAGTATTATGTATTATATATTTGTTACCAATAATATATAATCATACGTTATTTGAGAATACATTGTAGCATATGAGGACAAGAGGCTTCAACTCAATTTCAAATTCAATTAATTATAAACCACTAAAACCTAGTTGAGTGCTTGTTAGGATGACCCTAGACCTGGATTAATGTGACGAGTACACCATGTCCGAATGGGCAGAATATTTAACTTAATATCTAGTTACGATGTCCATTATATGATACTATGAATAAATTA